GTCAGTTTACAGGCTGCTCCTTCGGCTCGGCGGCCATCTGGCAGTACGAGTCCCTCAAGTCTCGAGTGCAGAGCTACTATGACGAGCTGCGAGCCGATTGGCTGGAGAAGGTGCGACCTCAGAAACGAGGAGACATCCGCAAAGAGGTGAGGGTTCGACGTCATCACCTGTAACCGGGCTCCACCCACACTTTGATCTGAGTCTTAATTGGCTGTCTGTGTTTCAGATCAACCAATGGTGGAACAGCCTGAGCGAGGGCCAGAGGACGGTAACAGGTGAGTCAGTGCTTACGAGCAAAGCGCTGAACTTTCACATGGGGGTTGCTGGATTGAATTCCTTTTTTCCCAGGGATCATTGCTGCTAACGCCATCGTGTTCTGCTGCTGGAGAGTGCCGTCTCTGCAGCGCTTCATGATCAGATACTTCACCGCCAATCCGGCCTCCAGTGAGTCTTGCCACCGCCGCCACGATTCGTTCAGGGTCTCCGATTGAGCCTCTGTAACTTCGGCTGTTTGTTGTTGCCCCGCAGGGACTCTGTGCTCTCCCATGATTCTCTCTGCCTTCAGTCACTTCTCGTTCTTCCACATGGCGGCCAACATGTACGTCCTCTGGAGCTTCTCCACCAGCGCCGTCTCCATGCTGGGCCGAGAGCAGTTCATGGCCGTGTACCTGTCGGCAGGTGCTTTTCACTGTGGTGTAATCTCTGAGATTATCTGTGTTTGTTTATGAGTGTGACGTTGATTTTATTTCTTCCGTTTTCAGGTGTTATTTCTACGTTTGTCAGTTATGTGTGCAAGATGGCCACGGGGAGGTTCGGCCCGTCTCTCGGAGCGGTGAGTGACTGCTTCACAGGTCAAACTGTACCTCGCTCAGAGTCACGTCTGTTTTATGGTTTTATTTTAGAGGACGTGTAGATTTTAGGAGGTCAGTGCGAACACACTGATGTGATTCTTTTGAGCGATGTTCTTTGGTGGACGTCTGTAAATGTTCTCAATAAATAAACAGCCTGAAGTTCCTGTTTCTGTTTTCAGTCTGGCGCCATCATGACCGTCCTCGCTGCTGTTTGTACCAAAATACCTGAAGCCAAACTGGCCATCATCTTCCTCCCCATGTTCACCTTCACCGCTGGCAACGTAAGACCCCGCCCACCCCTCTCCTCGCCCAGTCTACCTGGACAGAGATCTCTTTTTCATCTTCTGCATCAGCCCACCTGCAGCTGCTGCACATCTGCAAGCTGCTTTGAAACCCACCTGAGCTTCAGCTCCTGCTGCTGGCTTTGGCCTGACTGAACTCGCGCTCTGTTTCCGTGTCTGTCTGCAGGCTCTCAAGGCCATCGTTGCCATGGATACCGCAGGCCTGGTGCTTGGATGGAGGTTTTTCGACCATGCTGCTCATTTAGGAGGAGCCATGTTTGGAATGTAAGTTAGCAAGTTAGTCGATTTTTTATTTATAAAGGTTCATTTTTAATTTTCTTTGTTAATTCACAGAGAAGTTTTTTTTTTTTACCTTCTTACAGTAATTTTCTATATTAGATGGTGGGAAAAAACAGCTTTTCTGTCACTTAATTGTTGAACTTAATTACTTAATCACGTTGGTTTAGTGTGAGTGGCCGTGGGCGACGTCTGTATCCATAGGAACAGCTGTAAAATCTGAAAATACAGTTAAAAGTACAAAATTTATGGCTTCCTTGACATTTTCCAGAGCCAGACTGCAGTCTTTTCCGGGCCGATTCTGGTCCCTGGGACTTATGTTTGACCTCTCTGGATCAGATGGTTAATAGGTAGAAGCGGAAGTGTGAAGACAAAGCTGTCGATTTCCTGTTTGTGTTCCTGAGTGAAGAAAAGAGCGAGACTGTAGACACGAGCTGTAGAAAGGGAGCCCGCCGAGGAGGTGCAGTGGGACCAGGGCCTCCTCGCTGACGTGTTTTGGACGTTGAGATATTTGGAAAACTGATTTCTTCTGTTTTGTGACGTGTTTTTAATCAGACTTGTTCTTCTCTCCTCAGCTGGTACGTTCTGTTCGGCCACGAGTTGATCTGGAAGAACCGAGAACCTTTCGTCAAACTTTGGCACGACTTCAGAACTCGAAGGGGACCGGGAGGAGGAGGAGAAGGCGGCGGCGGAGGGGACCGAGGAGGCGCCATTTAGGACGCTGAAACGCAGAGAATGAAGGAAATAAAATGCTAACGTAACATGTAAAGATGTATAAAATGTACAGAGAGAATCACGGAGCCCGGGCACAGGCCGGAGTCGAAGTAAAGACTCGTACTTGTATTTATAAAACATGAACGATTCCATTGTTGTCTCCTCGCCTGCTTTTGTTGACAGTTTGATCAGAGACAAAGACAAACGCGGCACAAAGGTTTACAGCAACGACCTGTCGGCTGATCGTGTGACAAACAGAACCAGTCAGAGGGACTTTTTGCCTCAAAAATCTGTAAAAGACTTAAAAAGACAGCTGAGGGATTCTTAAAGAGCTCCACCTACCTCAGGTGAAACTTCAAACCCCATCAGGACGCCGTGTCTGAAACTAGAGTCTGGCTGCTGCTGCAGAACGAACCGGACGACTGAACAAACACCGTGTTTGCCAAACAGGCTGAAGTCCACCAACAGATCAGACTGATGGTGTGAGAGCGCGATCTGAAGGGTCGTCACGGAGAGCGTCATACGCCTGCTGCGATTGGCTCACAGCTTTAATAAAGCCCTGTGATGCTCGTGGGTTTAACTCTCTTAAAATAGACTCGATGATATTTGTGTTGTGGAAAAATAAACTGATCAAAACCTGATTTTCTGAGATTTATTCAAAGTTTAAAACAAAGGGACCAAAAACAATGCAGCACCAACATCAACAAGTAAACAAAATACTAACAGCTCCTTTATAGCCGTTGTCTTGATGCAGTCTTTGTTCAGCTGCAGGGACCTGTTCCCACAGTCGTGTGGCAGCGGTCTGATAATGACGGCAGAGCTTCACACTCATTGTTACAAACCAACAGCACGCAGAGAGGAGAGCAGCTGAAGCGCAGCACACCAGAGCTTCTGACACATTATTTTGGTTTTTGAAATCGATGAACGAGACAGAGATGGACACTGCACACCTCAAACTAAAGAAAAGGCCGACCCTCGCTCAGAGACTCGCACTTTTTTAATGTCTCTTTAATAAAATGCACTCGTTCAAACCTTTTACCTGATTCACAACTGAGATCAGACATGAGTGTGCACATCTGTGAGACCTCGGTGATGCTGAATGATCTGTGAGGGATTTAGAGCAGCACAGAGGTTCTTATTTCATACAAACAACATATTCCCACATCCAGAGAATCGGAGTATTAAACTCCACATCTGTCAGCAGCTGAAAACATCTGGAGCTTTTCAAACCAAACACTTGACGAAGGAGGTGCGAGGTGTGCGAACCCTCTGGTTCCTGAGGGAACATTTGCCGTTAAAATCACCGCAGCTTGTTTGCAGTCGTCTTACTAAAACAAGGACGGACTTCCCAGATAAAAGATCACCTGTTGTTGGTCCTCTTGTATGTCAAAGCCTTACAGAGAGAAGAGCTGCTGCAGCAGGATAGGAAACCTGCTGTTTTCAGTTTATCAAAAAGGCTCTGAAGGACTTTTAAACCACAGGTTTCCTTCTTTTGGTATATTTTGTCCCACCCCTGCATGGAAGCAGGGCTTTATCTTTGACGGCTGAAACCAGCTCATCACAAACGGTGGGAGGTGAAACTCTGGGATTCCTGAATGTCGATACTGATGTGTGTTTAGAGACGGTTTGGCCTTTCCCAGAGTTCATCGACCCTGAACAGCAGCAGACCTCAGAAGATCAGACCCGCTTCAAACCGCCGCGCTTCACATCGCAGACACAACCTGAGCGACGCCTGCAGAGACACAAACCCTGGAGAAGGCCTTTCTGCAACCTCCAAACCTGTGCCGACGGTAAGAACCGATCCATCAGACTCCAGCCGTCAAACCTTTAGCTGCACTTTAGCCTTTAACAACTGGCTCAGGTGACGTGTGCGTTTCGACAGGTCCGTACGGGTGAAACTGAGCTCCACGTCTCCTCTGCGGCAGATAGTTCCTATTTTCAAATGAAACACGATAGTGGGGATGCACACTCTGCTGGGACGGATACGTCCTCTTTGTTCATCTCCCTGAAATTAGTTTCTTTAGCTCAAATGGCCTCTACAGTCACCACATCCCAATCCAGCAGAGCACCTTTGGGGTGTGGGAAATGGGAGATTCACATCGTGGATGTAAAATCCCCGAGGAATGTTTCCAGCACCTCGTTGAATCTGAGACACGAAGAGCGAGAACAGTTCTGAAGGAAAAATGTGTCCGACCTGTACTAGCAGGGTGTACATAATAAAGTGGCCAGCGAGTGTAAATCACACAGTGTCCCAACAGTGATGCTGTTATTATAATCACTGATGAAATCCTGTTCCACGTGTTTGGAGTCACACCGAGATGGGAAATCGTAGTTGACTTTGAGTCGACCGCCTGCATTTGAGTTTGTGTTTTACAAACTGGCTGGGATCTTCCCACAGTGAGCTCGTGCACCACGTCCATCAGTGATTTACTCTCTGTGCTGCAGGCAGCTCAGAGTACACTCTGTAAACACAGAAGTCAAAGCTGCTCTTTGGACTTTGGTCCACGTCACTGATCCGAGTGCTGTTTTCCTGTGTTATGTTCTGTTAACGAAAATAGAAAAAATACACATATATCTTTAGTATCAGCTCCGAATATTATCTGAGTTCTTGAAGAAGTAAAAAACAATATTAAACACAACATTTAATACTACTTAGATTAGTAAGCTTAATTTCAGCTTAATTTCAGCTTAATTTCAGCTTAATTTCAGTCACTGATACTTCATGGAGGTGTCAGATGTCACACGGCCCGAGAGCAGAGCCCTGAGGAACTCCACAAACTCCACAGCTCGTGCCTCCTCCTTCTTCAAAATCATCTGTTTCCAGGTGTTCCAGGTGTGTGCGGAGACGCTGAGCAGAATGGCGGTGGGCCTGCAGATTGTGGGTCTGTTTCTGGGCGTGGTGTCCTGGTGTCTGCAGTCCAGCTGTACCTCCAACCAGGTGTGGAAGATGAGGAGTCAGTCGGAGTCGGTTACCACCAGCCAGTGGCAGTTCGAGGGCCTGTGGATGAGCTGTGCTGCCACCTCGATGGGGTCCATCCAGTGCAGCAAGTTCAAGACGGTGCTGGGACTGTCGGGTGAGAACGGCTGCTTCGTAATCATCAGCAGCTATTATGGAGTTATGATGACGGCTCAGTTGGAGCACAGGAAAAGGTCCACAGCAAGGACAATTATTTTTCATTCATTGATGAGAGGATTAGTTTTGGAAAAAAACTCATCTCTGTTTCTGCCTGAGAGCTGAGACAGAAATAAGAGAGGTCAGATATCTTATTTATAGCGAGTTCTTATCTTTTGCTGCCCAAACAAAGTAACAGCTTGTTCATGAACTTTAATGAGTCCCATGAGGACAATGTTGCTTAATGTTGTGGGAACTAGATGATGGCTTGTTCCCACAAGATAAACTGGGTTTACTGCAAAAACTGTAAAGCTGTGCGACGAGGAAGATGTTCATTTACCTGTAATGATGCTTTGCAGCTCACCTGCAGACCTGCAGGGCTCTGATGATCCTGTCCCTGCTCTTCGGTCTGACCTCCATCATCGTCTCCGTGCTGGGACTCAAATGCACCAAACTCGGCAGAACGCCCGAGCAGGTCAAAGCCAAGATCGTCCTGAGCGGAGGGATCCTCTTCATCCTGTCGGGTACGAGGCTTCGGGACTGGAGCAGAAACAAACCCCAAACCTGTAAAAAAGCAGCGTTTTCGTTTTGTTTCTCTACAGTCTGTGTTTGTGTTATGATCAGAACTTCACTGGGAGTGTTTCTTTGTGGAAGAAGACATGGTGATATTTAGAGAACAGATATCGCTGCATGTGCACATCAGTATTCAGGATGGAATCATCTTTATTCCTCATTTAACTGAAAACAAACATCTAAAAAATATTCAGATTAAAACGAGGCTTTTGCAGAGTTCTGGGATCTGTGGAGACACCGGAGCTCGAGCAGCTGGAAACTGAATCCTGAGCTTCTGTGTTTTTCTTCAGGTCTCTTCACTCTGATCGCCGTGTCCTGGTACGCTGCCAGAGTCATCAACGACTTCTACGACCCGCTCTACGGAGGAGTCCGGTGAGCAGCAGTGTGTGTGTGTGTGTGTGTGTGTGTGTGTTCCTGCTGCTGAATCTTTAGAGTTTGTGCTGCAGGTTCGAGCTGGGTACTGGTCTGTATCTGGGCTGGGCAGCCGCTGGTCTGGCCATACTGGGAGGATCTATGCTTTGCTGCTCCAGTAAGACTACTCCCTCCAGCCCACCTGCTCGGTAAACATACACACCCATCATCGTCTCCTTATTTAATGCTCAGTAATGACTTCTAAGTTTGTGTCAGGCTGCAAAGATGCTCATTTCTAAAGTAAAGTTGGTCATTTTAACACGGGAGTCTATGGGACTCCCTGCTGAAGCCTCTGGTGGACGTTAGAGGAACTGCAGGATTCATTGTACAGATGTTATCATAAAGAAGAATGAAAAAGAAAGAAAATGAAACGCTGCAAAGAGTGTTGAGTAACTGACGGTTTTGCATATTAGTGAAGCTTTTGTGCAGGTGAGAGCACTTTAGGTAACAGACGAGCTGACGACCACAAATCTGATTACATAAAGTGTGTATACAGTTTAAAAAGTTGGTCAGCGAATCTGTTTCATGTACATCGCTGTTGCTCCGCCCTCTAACCTTCATCTGCTCCCCTGCAGGCAGTTTTCTTACTACTCCACCACCGGCCAAGGTCGGAGCATCTACAGAGCAGCTCCGGCCTCAGACGCCAGCGGCTCCAAGGCTTACGTCTGAACCGACCGACCTCCACCGTCCTTTGTTAGGCTCGTGCTGTTTTCTGAAACATGGAATCGCCTCAGAATCACACTGCAAATAAAAGGTCTCCTGAAGCTGTGTGGCCAAGCAGTACCAAGTGTGTCCAAGAGAGGGCGCCACAGGGAATCGCTCTCAGAACTTCACAACAGATCAGTTTATTTATTCATTTACATTTGACTTTTATTAATCACATTTACCTGTATGTTTGAATTAATTTCACATTATTAATTTTCTATAGTTAACTTCAGTTTACCTTTTTTAGGTTATTAAAGAGAGGAAAGGTTATCATCTAACTAATCATGCTGACAGATCTGTGTGCAGTTTCCAAATGTGACGTTGCAGAGAAAGAAACACGTGTGGTGAAATGAAACTGAGAGAATAAAGATGTTTATTAATGCACACAAAGCTAGAAACCTACTGACAAATTCAGCCTTTAGATTCATGACATCACTGATGAACAGACATTAATTAAACGTTAAATAAAACGATCCATTAAAAGGTTTGAATAAAACTTTATTATTTCCCTTTTTAAGACTGTTAACATGTCGCAGGTGTGTTCAGGTGCGTGACTGCACTGTGCTGCTTGTGTGCGTGCTGGCTCACGGGAACGCTGATGAACACTACAAATCCAGCTGCAGCCCAGCGTGCACAGCAGTAACATCAGTCTATCCACCAGATCTCCAGTTTGGTTTGAGAGCTGATCTCAACCTGCAGATGTTTCCTGCTGGGATCTTTGTGCTGATGTCAATTCTTAGCAGGTTGTGTCTTTATTTCAGGAAGCTGACGCTCATCTTGGTATCAATGTCCATTTTCTCCAGTGACTGAAAAACAAATGAACACAACAATAATTTTTTAAATAAATTTGATTTGAAGAAAGTCCCTCCTCCTCCTCCTTCTTCTTCTTCTTCTTCTTCTTCTTCTTCTTCTTCTTCTTCTTCTTCTTCTTCAGTTTCTCAGACAGAAATAAATGCTGGTCCTAAATCATGTGTGAGCTTTGAGAGGTGTTTGAACCACCACACACAGTATATTTTATACATTTATTATTGTATTTGTGTGAATTAGAGCCCAGATTTTTGATCAGATGCAGCATGAAGCAGGTAAGAGTCTCACCTTTTTGAACTCGTCAAAGGAGATGGCATCATCTTTGTCGAGGTCGGCCTCCTGAATGGCTCGCTCAGCTATGCTCTGCAGCTGCTCCTCCGTCACCTGCAGCCCCAGCATCGCCCGCAGAACCTGAAGGACGCAGGACACAAGTATTAATAATGTACCAACGATGCTGATCGAAATCCTCTCTGAGACCCGTTTTTCTGCAGAACTAAAGAACATGCGAGCGGTGGACCCTTCTATGCAGATGACACACGATTATTTTTCTGATTCTAGAAAACTAAAACTAGCTTAACGCCACAGAGGATTTCTTTGAGGGCAAGCTGGGCCAAGCAACTGTTTTCCTCTAGTGCAAGTCCACAGCAGCTCCATCTGCTGTGGGAAACACTTCGGAAATAAGGGATCAGCCAAAGTACCTGCTACTTCTTCTTTTCTAAAATAATATTCACCCCAGTGGGCTAGCTTTATACTGTAGGAGGGGCTCGGTAATGTTTTCTTTCAGCTAAATAAAAATTCTTCTCTCACTTCCCTCCATTCTGCAGTCATGCAAAAACCCCTGATCTTAGCCAAATGTGAGTATGAGCTCCTGCGTCCTGGTTGCAGGTGTGTAATTTGTGCAAACAATGAAGACCTGACTGACAGCCCCACACACCAAAGACAGACTGCACAGGAGAGTCTCTGTGCATGGGAAGGAACTATGAACTTGTCAGCGATGAGGAGAAGAAATGAAAACTCTCAAATAAGTGGACACAGACCTGAAGAAGCTCCTCTCTGGAAATCTTCCCATCTCGGTCCAGATCGTACAGCTGAAAGGCAACTGAGCAGCGTCTACATTATTTTCTTTATTGTACGCAAAGATGAAATAAAAGACAGAACAAAGTGACCTGGACTCACATTTGAGCTTCCTGGTCCTGCTGCTGGGGAGCTCTTGCTGTGTTCCTTCTTTGTTTCGGTTTCTGTCAGTTGGACGGAAATGAGCCAGAATCCGGACAAAGGAGGAAAAGTCCACGGTATCCTGTCTGGAGAGAAATACTTCCTGTTTACCCTTCACAGTGTCACCTGACCAGTGCCTGAGTCTAGACCTCTGCAACTCAAATGAGTTGATGTGACAGTCCTTGCTCTGTCAGTGCAGAAACAAGTGATTCCTGTGATAACAGCAGGCTGTCGTACCCCGAGGAGAAAAAGGCTTCTATGATTCTGCCTCCGATGGGGTTCATGGCCAAACCTCCGAGCGCTTCAAAGTCGTCAGGGCTGCGACACAGAAGGAGACAGACAGTCAGAGGCTCTGGGACACTGACGTCCCTCAGAGTCTCACAGGCTTTGTTTTAAATCTTTTTATAAAGAAACACGACCTGTTTGTTTTTCTGCAAAGGTTTCACTTTCAGCCTGCATGATGTCTAAGAGCGGTTATTATAGTTAACTCAAACTTAACTAAAGATCAAAACTAGATGTGAAAAAACATTTTAAACTAGACGTAAACAAACTTCCTGAAAGGATTTCATGAACTTAGAAACGAAACTTAGACTTTGATTAAATGTTATCACTGTTTGTGTGATGAGACTTTGACGGACGCTGAATGTCCTCAGGACTGTGAGTCGCTGCTTTCCAAAGGTTGTATAGTTTTATATTTTCTGGACCGATTTTCCTCAATCATGCCTCTCACGTATGCCCTCATTACATTATTACTTAAAAAGACTAAAAGTAAACATTTTGAAACAATGAAATCTAAACTGAAAGGAAAAACCTGAAGCTAAACAAAAAGCCAAAATGAAATGAAAGTATAACTCTGTCTTCATCCCAAACGGGTTGGTGTTCGGGCTTTGGAGCCAGCAGACATTAAAGAGTTACCTGACACAGTCACAACAGTGACTCTGAATTCATCCTGTTGACACTTTGTGTGGCCGCTGATGTTTGGACACAAAGAGATCCTGAAGATGAAGGTGTTGAACTGGTTTGGATCAGAGTCTAGTCCTCCAGCTTCCTGTTTCTCAGAGTGACCTGATGAAGTTTATGTCTGGTCTTTGACCAGGTCACACAGCGTTTCGGCAGGTTGTCTAGAAACATCTTTGGGAACTTTGCAAAGTTGTTTTGTTTTGTGTTGTTTCGAGTTAAGTGTTTGAAGTATCTTGAATGACTGTTTCTTCATGTTTTCCCGTGACTGTGAGATTGGGGGGAGCGCTGCTGCAGCAGTGTTACATATTTCTGACGCAGACGGATAAAACTAAATAAACTAAATAAACTCATCTTCAGGCTTATTTCATTCTGGGATGTTTTTGGGGAAACAAACAAACCCTATAAAAACATTATTGTTATTAAGCTGGATGATGACTGTGAGCAGTGCGTCCACACACCTGAGGTATCCTCTGTTGTCTCTGTCCAGACTCTCAAACCTGTCGTGCAGACGGAGGAGATGAGCAGACGAGACTGAAACAGACACGATTTGTTCTTTACTCAGAGTAAACTTTAACAGCTCAGTCAGACTTTGCAAATACTTGCTGAGGGAAGAAGTATGACTGTCTTCAACAGTAACTTGTATGTCGATACCTCAAATACACCAGAGGTTTGTTTGCAGTATCCAGGGTGTGCATATATTAAATATATTATGTAATCGCTCAAATGGGTCGAACAGGTTTGAGCAGAAATCCTGTGACATCAAAATTAAAGGAGAAGAAATTCAAATAAAGGAAACCAAAAAGAAAAGATCAAAAACGAATAGCTTATGGTCCCAAAGTAAAAGAAAGAGTAATTATATTTCTTATTACGAAAAACTAATGTTTCATCTGGGCTTAATCAGCCATCGAGCACAGTCGTGTTTATCTGCCCACAGTGTCCTTATCAGCGAGGACAGTTCAGGGTGTTGCCACGGAAACGCACACAAACAGCCGACGATGAGCTCACACACGGGAAACAGCAACAACTCACACCGTCGCCGTTACAGTCTCACATGAAAGCTGAAAGTGATGTTGAGTCCC